CTTAAATGCTTAAGCACCTGGCACTATGCTGAGGACTTCAGCCATATCATCTCATTCCTTACAGCAGCCTGTGGAGGAAGTATGATCGATCATGCTGCTTAACAGTAAGAACACCAAGGCTCAGAGAGATGCACTGGCCCAAGGTGCACCAGCCAAGGAGTGTGGGAGCAGAGACTGGCATCTAGGCCCAACTGCAAAGCCCAACACCAACCACCACGCTCTTTTGGCTCTAGCCCAGGGTTCAGTTCTGCCATCCAGAACCCTTGCTTATAAGCTGGAGTAAACAGCGATCACTTCTACACCTGCTCTAAGGTCTGGGCCTAGAGCTCCTATACACCGCCAGCAGCCTCACAGGATCCTACACCACCCCCGAACCAGCTACCATGAACTACAAGTCAGATTTGACTCACAGTGACCCCTCCTTGGTTTTCCGAGGCAGTATCACTACAGAAGTAGATTGCCCAATCTTCCTTCTGAGGGGTGGCTGGTGGGTTTGAACCTCCAGCCTTTGGTTAGCAGTCAAGTGCCTTAGGCACTATGCCACCAGAACCTCTGTTGTTGTTGTTGTTGTGTGCCGTCGAGTCAGCCCCGACTCATAGTGACCCCTCCTTGGGTTTCTGAGGCAGTATCACTACGGAAGTAGGATTGCCCAACCTTCCTTCCGAGGAGTGGCTGGTGGGTTTGAACTGCCAGCCTTCTGGTTAGCAGTCAAGTGCTTTAGCCACTATGCTACCAGAGCTCCTAGCCACCATGAAGCTGACTCTGATTCATGAACCTATATGTGTTGGAGAACTGTGCTCCACAGAGTTGTCAATGGCTACTTTTAAAAAAAAATTTATTGTGCTTTGGGTGAAAGTTTACAGAGCAAATTCACTTTCCATACAGCAGTTCACATACACTTTGTCTCATGACATTGACTGCAGTTTCTCACAATGCAACAGTTCCCCTCCCACTTCCTCCCCAAAGTGACCTCTTCCCTGTGTCCTTCTGTCCCATGCGCTCCTGCCCCCTGAGCTGTCTCCCTGTGCATACACAGCCCTTCTATTCTCCCATGATTGATCTCTCCAAGGAGTGGATCTGCCTAATTTAAGTGTTCAGCTCACATGTCTTTTTTTGTTTGTTTGTTTGGCCACAGGAGTGGGTTCAATTCCAGACCTGAAGGGCAGCTAGGGGCTATAGGCTCAGGTGTTCCTTTTTTTTTTTTTAATTATTTTGAGTTTCATTCCACTCTGTTCTCCCACTCTGTCCAGGATCTCCTACGTAAACCCCTCTGTGAGTGGTTGACAGTGGTAGCTGGGCACCATCTAGTTCTTCTGGTCTCATAGTTGTATAGGCTGAGGATTGCATGGTGTATCAGTCACTTGGACTAATTGTTTTCATGTGTCTGTTTTTTTTTTTTTTCACTGTTCTTTGCTCTGGATGAGGAGAAACCCATCTTTTTATCTAGATGGCCGCTTGCAGGCTCTTAAGATCCCAATTGCTACTCGTCAATAGCCACTTTCTAAAACACAGATCACCAGGTCTTTTTTCCAAAGTGCCTCTGGGTGGACTTGAACCTCTGACCTTTCGGTGAGTAGCCAAGCACATTAACCACTTGTGCCACCCAGGGATTCCACCCCACCCCGACTCCTGTGATAAGCCTTTGTTTGGAGGGCAAAGCTTCACTTATAAGAGCAGGAAAATGCTTGGCAAAGACACAGCACTGGGCAGAGGAGTCCTGGTTCTACTCAACCACCAAGCAGCTGGTGTCCTTGAGCAGCTCACATTGCTCTCTGCGTCTCATTCATTCACGTACATTTCCTCTCATGTGCACCCATACCTATATATAAAACTGAATTACAGTCCATGATGCAATACCCTTTTTACCACAAATCGACCTTTTATATTTTCTAGCCTAGGTTATTTCATTAAAAAACATTAGGTTGGTCACAACCCATTACATTGATTTCCTGACCCAATAATGGGTTGCAATGCAGTTATGAAACACACGGGACTAAAAATGCTGGCTTTCAAAATTTTCTTTCTGTTCCTTTTTTCAAGTGGCAGGACCTTTCTGGTAGGTGAAACCTTTCTTGGGAGCTCTGCAGACACAATAGCCAGGAGCAGCGCCACCCTGGTTTGCAGAAGTGGGCCCAGCTGCCATGGACAGGGCAACTCTCTGAGGTTCTATTTAGCTCTTACTGAAGGAAAGCGTGTCTGATCGGAACCTGTGCTTGTAGCGGGCACTACAGGGTGATCTAACTGGTGAGGCTACAGTGGTTTGAACTCAAAACTGAACTACTGCGCCTGGGGCCCAAGCTCCATTCCCAGAGCCAGAAGGCCAATGGTGGATACTGCAGGGCAGGCAGGGAAAGGGGAGGCAGAGCTTTCACTTACAAAGGACAAGCATGGCCCACCTCATGAATGACAGAGCTGTTAGCTGTGTTCAGACCTTAAAGGCAAAAAAAATGAGCTGGGGCCCCAGAACTCTCCTGTCTTTTTTTCTAAGCAGGGAGATGAGGTTGGGGTGGGGGGGTTGGGGGGGAGTTTTCAACCCTGGCTGGGGCTGATCATCCTGAACAATGCTTGAACCTGCTGGACTCTGAAAAGGTGCCTGGATGCTGACAGTTCTTGGACTTTCCAGGTCAAATGCAAATTGCTAATTCCATCAGCAACTTTCTTCCCAGGCCTAATACTGGGGAACTGTTCATGGTTGGGTTGTTCATGGGTAATTAACCACTACATATGAGATGGTTCCTCAAACGTAGAGACACAGTGCCAGGTGGAGAGGTGCCAGGGAGCAGGGAGGCCTGTACGAAAAGTTCCCAAGTTATGAACGAGATCTGTTCCAAAGTGTGCCTTTAAGTCAAAGGTACATTGGAACAGGGACATAGAGTTCTTATGTAGCTTTACTTTAGCACAAGGTAAGGACCTCTGATGGCACTGTGGTTAAAACTGGGCTGCTAACCAAAAGGTTGGCAGTTCGAACCCACCAGCCATTCCATAGGAAAAAGATAAGCAGTCTGCTTCCATAAAGATTTACAGCCTTGGAAATCTTATGGGGGCAGTCCTACTCTGTCCCATAGGGTCAATGTGAGTTGGAATTGACTCAGTGGCAATGGGTTTGGTTTTTTGGTTTGAGTTTAGTGCAGTAAAGGAGCTCTGGTGACATAGAAGTTAAGCACTTATCTGCTAACCAAAAGGTTAGTGGTTCAAACTCACCAGCTGCTCTGCATAAGAAAGATGTGGCAGTCTGTGTCCATAAATATTTATAGCCTTGGAAAGGTTATGGGGCAGTTCTACTCTGTCCTATAAGGTTGCTATGAGTCAGAATAAACTTGATGGCAGTGGGTTTGGTTCAGTTTGGTTTGAGTCCAAGAAAAGGCTTGATGCCTTTTCCATGATTTAAAAGCTGCACGTGCAGCAAGTGAAGGTGATTGTGATGAAGAATTTGTTGTGCGTGGAGGTTGGTTCAATCATTTCAAAGTGAGGGCAAATTTAGATAACATTAAAGGGCAAGTATGATTGCCCCTAAGTCAGATGCTTGTAAACCAAGGACTGCCTGTACCACCTCTCCCTCCTCCCTCAGCTGATTCCCCTTCTCCATACATAAGAGACTTCTTAGGGCAGAGGGTTTCTGTGGGAGCACCACAGGCCCTGGGCCTTACACTGCTCAGCTCCAACCAATGGCAGAAGATGCTTGGTATGCATGACACTGGAATGCTGTATCATTTCTGGAGAGCTAGTGATGATCTACCCTTGTCATGGATTGAATTGCAGTCTCCAAAACAATGTGTCAATTTGGCTAGACCATGATTCCCAGTATTGTGTGGCTGTCCTCCATTTTATGATCTGATGTAATTATCCTCCATTTTGTGAGAAGCATTGTAAATCTTAACTTCTATATGCCAGTGAGTCAAAATTAGAGTGGGTTGTATTGCGAGTCACAGCCTTCTAAGAGGGTGTGACTCAAGTCCCACCCTCACTCAAGTCATCACTCTTACTCAAGTACTCAAGTTACTTATGCCCTTATTGAAGTCACTATCCTTACTCAAGTCATACCTTTTATCTTACAAGTGAAGAAAGGAAAGAGAGGGACCACACTACTACTAAGAAAGAAGAGGTGGGAGCATATTTTAGATCTGGGTCCCTGCACTGAGAACATCCTAGACCCAGGGAAAGAGTGATGCCAAGACACGTGGAGATCTCTAAGTAAACAGGAAGCAGAAGCTGGAGACAAGGATCTTCCTCCAGAGCTGACAGAGAAAGTATCCTCCTAGAACTTTGTTGTTGTTGTTGTTGTTGTTATGTGCCATCGAGTCAGACCTGACTCATAGTGACCTCTCCTTGGGTTTCCAAGGCAGTGTCACTATAGAAGTAGATTGCCCCATCTTCCTTCCGAGGAGTGGCTGGTGGGTTTGAACCGCCAGCCTTTTGGTTAGCAGTCTAGCACTCTGAATTTGGGCTGTAGTTTCCTGAACTGAGAAAATAAAGTTCTGTTCATTGAAGCCATTCACTTGTATTTCTGTTGCAGCAGTACTAGATAACCAGGACAATCCTCCATCCTGATTTGAGGCAAGTGTCCAGAGGGGAACCACAGCTTATCATCATAGTACAAAAATGCTGGAGTGGTTCAACAGCTTATCCACAATGCAAATTATCATGGCAGTATTTTTGTTTTTCGGACTCAAAGAAATTATATTTTCTACCATAAATGTGATGCTATATTAAAGGCAGAGTAAATCAGCATCTACAGACCCATCTGAAATGTGAAAAGCTGCCCGAGAGGCTGTTGCTGCTGACTCTCATACAGCACAGGCTCAACAGGAAGTCTTATTTCTGCTGGCCTCCTGCTTGGAGCCTCAGTGTTTGGGATTTTTTTTTTTTTGGAGGATCTGTTTCTGACTAATAATGACAGTACGTAAGAGGGTTCTCTAAGGAACCACACTCAAGAATGGGCTTCTCTAGAGCATGTGGTGGGACCCTGGTAGCTCCAGGGGCACTGCTGGTGGGCATGTTACCTGGAGGGGTAACCGGCAGCACTGATGCGAATCGTCTCCAACACCCCACAGGCTCTGAGCTGCTGCACTGCTCTCTTGGGATCAAAGCTGCAAAACAAGAGAGGCAATGAGTGGACACATTGGTAAATAAACACCTAGGCCTGCAGCAGACGAGGCACCTGTTAGCAGTGAGTTACACAGATCATCATGCACCTGGAGTTCAAGGTCTGGGGCAAAGCAGAGACTAACAGACACTGATGGGTAGGCATGGGAGCCAGGTCGGCATCTTTAGTCCTGAGCACCTTCTCCTTTTTGCCTGGGATACCCATCAGGCAAGATGACTCATTCCTTCCTCCTCTCTGGAGCCTTCCCTGATTATATCCAACCACAAAGGCATCTGTCTTAGGTCAATTTCCAAGTTATTACACTTGGCACTGGGAGCATTATTTCAGCTCTGGGGCCAAAAGGTTGACCTTTTAGGGCCAGGTAGCCCTGGGTGCAAACCATTACATGGCTGCTCACCAGCTGCACATGTAAGTTGGGCATGAAACTTAACTTCTATGGACCTGAGTAGACTCATCTATAAAGTGGGGATAATAACAATAATACCTACTTTATGGGATTTGTTTGAAGATCAAACAGTGACTCACAAATGCAGAACAGTGCCTGGTACATGACGTGGGCATAAATATCATTAGCCATTATTATGATAGCTGGTCAGTTAAGAATCACAGAGAAAAATAATTTTATCTGCTGAATCATGTCTTCAGCTACTCACATGCCTCACTAACCTTTGCATTGAAAACTCAGTAAAGAAACCTCACTTTCACTCTGAATCGACCACCCTTCATTCATTATAAGGGGACCAGGAGTGGAAAGCTAGCTCCTCTGCCTATTAAATTTTGAAACACAATTAAGTTTGGTGAGGACAATTAACACCTAACACTGGGTTGAAAAACAGTCAAAGAAATATAGGGTCAACCTTCTGAAATCCAGGTTCACATGTCCCTGTCCCGATAAAACGTGCAGGTTCAGCAGAGCCAGGAATGGGCTGGATGCAAGCGAATGGTGAACCCTGTGGTGTGAGGACTGGAGGTCTCCTTGGCAGTCACGTGATACTCAAAAGATTTATGCACACAGGCTGCAGGCTCCCTCCCCAACCCACTGCTCAGGCTCTGCAGAACCCCACCATCCCATCGCAAGACCCCAAGACTTGTGGGATTGCCCACTTCTGAGGCCAGAAGGCTGGCCTGCAGGGATCCTGGCGAGTTCCTCCAACAAGTGGTCCCCAATTATGACGCTCTCAGTGCCGCCTCCTTCCTGGACACTGAGTGTCTCCCATCTTCAAGCTCTCACAGCATTTTACAGGTTTACTATCAATTCTACAACGCCACCATTAGTTATTTGTAACTGACAGCTCCTTAAGGGTCAGGGGCATTTCTCATTCACTGTCATCCCACCTGTCCTAGCCCAGTGCCTAGTGAGTAGTAGACATGACAGATTTTTTTTAATAAAAGTAGCAGCAAAGGAGAAAAGGACTTTAGTACATGAGATGCTATCAAAGTGTTTAGTGTTGCATAGTCGTTCTCAACTGGGGGAGATTTTGCTATCTCTCTGCCTCCAAGAAACATTTGGGAATATCTGAAGATATTTTTAAGTGGCTAAAGTACTTGGCTGTTAATGGCTGTTAACTGAAAGACGGGTGTTTAGACTCCACCAGCTGCTCCACCAAAGAAAGATGTGGCAGTCTACTGTAAAGATTACAGCCTTGGAAACCCTATGGGGCAGTTCTACTCTGTCCTCTAGCCATCACTATGAGTTGGAATTGACTTGACAGCCACAGGTTTGGTAGTTTTGGAAGATGTTTTGAGTTGTCACAACTTGGGGAGTCTACCAGCATCTGGTGAGTAGAGACCAAACATGTTCCTAAACATCCTACAGTGTACAGGACAACCTCACAATAAAGAATTATTCAGACCAAAACGTTAATAGTGCCAAGGTTGAAAAACCCCAGTGTAGAGAATGTTGTCTTTGTTAGGTGTCATCGAATTGGTTACAACTCATATTGACCCCATGCACAACTGAACAAAACGCTACAGGGTCCTGCACCATCCTCACAATCATTGATGTGTTTGAGCCCATTGTTGCAGCTATTATGCCAATCCATCTCATTGAGAATCTTCCTCCTTTTTGGTGTAGGGGATAGGAGGAGGAATATAGCAATTTCTCTCCAGAGTAATTTTTTAACAATAATTTACTACTTTTTTTTTTTTAAATTGTGATTTGGATGAAAGTTTACAGAGCATATTCCTTTTCCATTCAACAGTTGATACACATTTTGTTTCATGACAATGATTACAATCCCCATAATGCAACAGCTCTTTTCCCACTTCCTCCCTGTGGCTGCTCTTTCCCTATGTCCTTCTTTCCTATGTATTCCTGCCTACTGAGCTTTCTTCCTGTGCAAATCCTGCCCTTCTGATCTCCTATGGTTGGTTTTTTTTTAAGGAGAGCACCTCCTTGGTGTAACTGTTTACCTTGTAGCCCTGTCCATTAATTGGCTTAATATTCCATTTTAATCATATGCATGTTTATACTCCTCACAACTTACTCCCATTTATTATCTCCTTGGCTTCTTTCATTGAGATAATTATTTTTAACCATAATGAACAGATGAAGCAATGAGACCCAAAGAGCAAAAACTGAGCTTGTGATTAGCCAACCATCTGGCAGTACAGCCCAGACTACACCCAGGTTTTTTTACTTGGTTTAGTATTTTTCCCATTTTTCCCTATTTATGGGGAGGAAGAAAAGGAATAACTTCAGTCCAGAAGGAAAAGGAAGGTCCCAGAAAAATAAGATGTGAGGATTAGAAAGGTTCTTTCAAAGTCCAGTTTCTTCTCTCTTTTGGAGTGGAGGCCCAGTGGAGTGTCTGACACATGGCAGGTAGCAGGTTCTGATGAACGAACTGCTCAAGGTCAGGGCTGGTTGGAGGCAGAATGGCACAGAGCCCTGTCTCTTCTCTCGCAGCCCAGCTCCCTGACACTGCCCTTCACACATAATCTAAGTTTTTCACACATGCTGCTCTGCTAACTGCCTCTTTTCTTCTAGAGTCAGCCTGTAAACAGCTGCCACACCAGGGGAATTCCTAAGCATGTCTTGGAAATTTGAAGGGAGGGAAAAGAGTGAACAATCAGCCCGGTTCAAAGAAGGCTGATTCAATACTGTCTTCCTAACCTTTTCCAGCACAGGCCCATTTGAATTGAAGTCAAGCTGTATTAAATGATGGGGCTGCAGAAAGCAGCTCAGATATTCACTCTGAAAGTCAGAGTTGCCTCCCCCCGCAAAAAAATTATTGTGTAGAAAGAAATTATGCTAGGTCCAAAAAGGAAATCAGAAAGACAGAAAGTGCTTTGAAAATTAAAAAATACACCTCCTAGACATTTTACTGCACTTCAGGTTGCTGATAAAAGCCTAACTCCCCACCAATGCACCAAGCCTATTTCCACCTGCTAGGCCATTTACTGGGAAGCTCTGGTAGCATAGTGCCTCAGGCACTTGACTGCTAACCAGAAGGCTGGCGGTTCAAACCCATCAGACATTCCTCAGAAGGAAGATGAGGCAATCTACTTCCGTAGTAATACTGCCTTGGAAACCCAAGGAGGGGTCGCTATGAGTCGGGTCCGACTCCACAGCACATAACAACAACAACAGGCCATTCACCAGGAGATTTGGTGGTATATTGGTTAAGGCATCTGGCTGCTAACTGAAAGATCATTGGTTCAAACCCACCAGCCACTCCATGGAAGAAAGACGAGGCAGTCTGCTTCTGTAGATTTAGAGCCTTGGAAACTCAATGGAGGTTGCTATGAGTCAGAATCGATTTGATGGCAGTAAGTTTGGTTTGAGGCCATTCACATTCACTCATTCACTGGTCCAGTCTGTATGACTGTTCACCCACCCAGTTGCTCCACCCATTGGACTGCCAATGCACCCATCTATCCATCCATCCACTCATCTACCCATCTGTCCACTCATCCATTCAATAACCATATACTGTTATCTAGCACATCCCACGCATCACACCTGGTACCCGAGCTAGGGACTGAGAATACAAGGACAAAAAAAAGGTGTTTAGTGTCCAGGAGGAGAGTCAGACAAGAAACCAAGCATAGGGCAGTGGGGCAATGCTAAGACAGAGGTATGCATGAAGTGAACGAGCCCAGAGGGGCATTGAGATAGTGTGATGGTGAAGAGTGCTCTGGTGGTTGCATGACTAAGGCCCAGAGCAATGAAAGAAGAGCCTGAAGAGGTATATGGAAGACCACCTTCAAGGCTTAGGCCAGTACTCCAGGCAAGAAATGAAGAGGATGTGAAATAAGGGGGCAGGGAAAGGAACAGAGGAGGGAGACCAACGTGGGAAAATATCACATAGACTGCATGGGACTTTGACAATGACTGGGCATTGCCCTAAGACTTGACACGTATCTGAGGTCTAGTCTCCTCAATGTAAGAAATCTTCTCTGACCAGTCCACTAATCCTTTCCTTCCTGGATTGACATTTAATGACACACTTTCATGTGGTTCTCTATTTGTTCCAAGTGTGCACATTCCTCAACACTACCATGAGAGCGCCTTTAGATTGGGGAGCTGCATCTTCTCTTTCTCCTGAATTCCCTGGACAGCAGACAGGTGGAACATGGTAAGTGTCTGCTGACCTGTATTCAGCACAGAAACCAGTTGGGCTTGTGGGCCAACTAGTCATCAGGCTGAAGGCGGCAGACTCCTGCAAGACTGTGTCTGCCCCTGTACCACCTGAGCCTTCCAGGAAGCCTTTGGAGGCTCGACCTCAGTGGCCTGATTCCAGCTGAGAGAAGCTGGGCTCATGCCTAAGTGGGCACTTACTGGAAGGGGAGCTTCTCGTCATTTGGCTTGATGCAGCGGACATAGTGTGGTGTCGTGGCATTCAGGGTCTCCATGAGCAGATTCAGGGAGGTACGGAACTGGGGAGACAAAAGCCAATGCTTGGTTATTTATTTTTAGCATTTGTGGATGCATAGTAAATATAAAGAAAATCCCCCATGCTGGTGGTGGTAGAGTTGTTACTATTATTTTTATTAACAATCCAGAAGCACAGGGGAAGAAATTCAGAGACCTCGGCCAGATTTCAGCTCTGACACTACCCCCTTGCTGCATAACCTAAACCAAGTACCCCTATAGCCTGACTTTAGAACTCCTCAAATCAAATGAGAAGAGTGTACCCCTGACATGACTGTCTTGGTTCTCTCATGCTGTGGTGCAGACATACCACAAGTGGATGGCTCCAACAAACAAGAATTTATTCTCTTACAGTTTAGGAGGCTAGAAGTCCAAATTCAGGGTGCCAGCTCTAGCGGCTGAGTGAAGGCCTCTCAACCTGGGGCTACAGCTCTGCTTCTTATTCCCACTAGAGCTGGAGGGATCTCCTAACTCATGCAGTTGCTGATTGCTGAGGAACCCAAGGTCATCAAGTAAAATGGCACAATCCCAAGGTCAGCAAGTATCACCGCAGGCCAATGGTTCGAGTCCAGGAACAACCCCAACATGGGCAGGCTGGTGATGGAGACTCTGCCAAATGCAGGACCCAAATGTTCCACAAAGCTAGAGACCTTTCTCAAAGCTTCTGCTTGTATACTAGAAGCAGATCACACCTCAGACTCAACTACTATTCACAGAAGATTCCACCATGGAGGTGATTACAATCTCATCATGGGGAATAACTGTATCCAGCTGTCTAGCCACTCAAAACCACAGCCCAGCCAAGTTGACACATAATCTTAACTACATAATGCCTAACTCATAATGCTATGGATGAGATGAGAAGACAGACAGACAAACACTGTGAGATATGAGAGGTATGATCCCTGTGAACTAGAGGCCTCTTATTGGTGGTCCTGAGGCTCTGGAACCTGGACATGTGGTACTCACCCTGAGGCTTGGCAGATATTCTCTTCTCTTTGGAGAAACAGTGGACATAAAGTCCACAATGACCCCAGAGAAGGAAACATTTTCATTTTTCCAATTCTTAGGTTTGTAATCCTCCTTTCCACCTGAAAGACTTCTAGACCGTCCTGCCTCCCCCAGAAGGTTATCTTTAGTCCTTCAATATGATCCCTACTGCAGATAGTAAATTTATTGTTTCAGTTCATCATTCTCTTTCCTCTCTCTCCTCTCAGTTTCTGCTGAAGACATTTCCTTCTTTAAAGGGCACAAAGATTTTTCTGGCTGCCTGGACCCACCATCAGCCTCCTTCTGAGACTCTAGTCATCCATCACTCTGCAGAGGCCAGTCACCAACATGGGCCAAGGCCCACAACTTTTCAGCACAAAGGCCTGGGACTGACCTGATGGCCCACAGTTTTCTTGTGCTCCTTGTTGGAGGCTTTCATAGGGGGTCTGGCGGAGCGAACGTTGATCTTTGAAGATGAGCCCTTCCCAGATGTGGTGGTGGCAGGAATGGGATCCTTGTCATCATGAAACAGGTCGCTCACTAGTGGGAACTAGAAACAAATAGAAAGAAAAATGAAAACAAGGTCTCTTACACTTAAGGTGCTGAAACTCTTGCAAAATTGCTTTCCAAGATGAACCTGAGAGCACTGAAAACATAAAAACCAGGACACAAATGATCACAGCAGTATTATTTATACTTGGCAAAAGTGGACAAAACCCCAATATCCATCAAATGATGAATGGGTAGACAAAATACGGTACACATCCGTAGACTAGAATATTATTCATCAATATAAAGGAATGAGTTATCGATACATGCTATGACATGAACGAACCTTGGAAATACCATGCTAAGTGAAAGAAGTCAGACACAAAAGAGCACAAAAGCCACACAAGTGTATGGCTTCATTTATATGAAATATCCAGAACAGCAAATCCACAGAAATAGAAAGGTTAGTGGTTTCCTGGTCCTGGACGAGGGGAAAAAGGGAGAGGCACCCAACGGGTTTCTTTTTGGAGTAATGGAAGTATTCTGGAATGAAATTGTGGTGATAGTTACACTCTTTGCAAATATGTTAAAAGGCACTGCATTGTACACATTAAGAGGGTAGATTGCAGTATGTGAATTGCATCTCACTTGAAAAAGAGAAGAAAAATAGCATCCCTACACAACCTTACTTAATCCTTACCTACAAAGACAGGCAAAAATTTATCTCCTTGTGGTTTGGCAGAAGCTAGCTATGCTTAAATTATATATTCCCACACTTATTAGTGGATCTCACAACATTAACTTTCTTGAGTCTTGGTTTCTTCATTGGTGAAATGGTGATAAGAATATACTTGCTATATGAGGCTTTTATGAGAAATAAGACAGCCTCTCTGGGTTAGTGTCTTTGTCTGCAGCAAGATGATTTGATGTGTAGTCCTCATATGAGGTGCTGGTGATACAAAGTGTTCCAGCCATCTAAACACTCATCAGACGGGGTGGTCAGCACTGCCATCCCTCCTGAGGAAAGTCAGTTCTGGGGCAAGAATAAATTATCATGAGTGCTCTACCACATGCTCAGAGGGTGGGGTGGGGTGGAGTGGGGTAGGGTGGAGGGAACGAAAAGGACTACGCAGGCTCCATTCACTAACCCTGAGCCACTTCCAATCTCAACAGAGGAAAAAGGTGCAAACGCTAGTAGACATGCTTAGACTCTGGGCTCTGCTCCTCCTATGGTACCCTGCACCCTTCTTCATACCCCATTAGTGGTCCCTCATCTCCCACCACCATATCTGAACACCCTGCTGCAGTTCCCAGGCCTTCAGTCTCCTCCCACTCACCCTTCTCAGATAATACCTTTAAAAGTTATCAAGCTGGTCACCCTGCTATTCCATACACCACCACACTCACTATTCCTGCCTCTGTATCTTTGTTCACTGTTCTATTCTTGCCTGAAACACACCTTGACCCATTTCTCTCTGCTATCCTGAGTCAGCCTATCTCATGAGGTCCAGCCTTGTATCCTCTATGACCCTTTCCCACAGCACTGCACCCACTTGACCCTCTCTCATCCACAGGTTCAGTCTGTGGTACCCCTGGTACCCCTGAGGTCCATGCCAAGCCCTGAGCCCTATGCTTACTGAGCCTATAGCCTCCTAGCCTTCCCTAAGGAGGATGAGGGCTGAGGTGTGGATTAAAGAAAATAATCCATGTAAGCACAGAGTGCCGAGAATATAAGCATTCAAACATGATCTAGTTTCATTGCTTTTATTAGGGATTATATACATGAAAAGTCTGTTTCAATTGTGAAAGCACAGATGCTTGTGGAAGTTGTATCATTGAGCTGAAAAGAAAGCCTTGAACTATTGAATCTTAGAGCTTGAAAACCCATAAAGATCAACCCTCATCTTCACGGGGCAGGTGAAGAAACAAAAGCTCAGGGAGAAGGGGCCTACCAGAATCCTGCTTCAATCTCGAAATCCCCAGCACCAAGCTCACTGGCCAGCATTGGCTTCCCTGGGGCTGTTGGTTAATGGCTGAGCCAGGGCTGAGACCTTGCCTGTGTACCCCCCGGCCCCCCACCCCAGGTTAGAGCTTATGTCAATACACAAATCTATCCTTGTCACTTACAGGAGCTATATCAAGGAAGTGGTAATACAAACAGGTGTCAGGCACAGGCTTTATCTTTGAGATATTTACAACCACGATTAAATACATAAAAGAGCGGGCACTCCATGAAACATTCCCCCAACTTATAACATGCTCTGCTATGGAGCAGAGCTCTGGCTATGGTGAACTAGGCACTGAAGACGCAACATCCTCTTCAAGGACAGCTACAAGTTCTATATGAAGGTCATGGGCTGCCTATGCCGATACCATTCTCCATATGACTTCCCAGACCTTTAACATTGCAGTCCCAGTTAAGCCAGTATTTCCTGAACACCTAGAAGGGCATTCATAAGTAGGGTACTGTCTAGGGTAGGTTCCCTAGAGGAACAAACCAGTGAAGCAGATAGACAGATAGATAAGACACATTAGACAGACAGATGGATAGGCAGATTTCAAGGAAATGCCATTGTGGAGGCCGGCAAGTTTCAAAATCTTCAAGTCACATGGCAGGCTGCTGGCACTTATCTCAAGAATCAGAGGTCAGAGGATGGTGAGTCGGATGCAGGATCCAGAGGGGCTGAGCTTTGCCAGAACATCTTTATATATTGGCTGGAGCCCACACCCCTAAGGAAACTCCCTGTTCAGTTGATTAGTTGCTCACATCAAACCAGTCACGGAGGATGATTACATAATATCTGCCAAACCATTGAGAATCATGGCCTATAGCCAAGTTGACACAAAACCTGAACCATCACAGGTATCATGCTAATAGCTTGGGAAGTAAAATAATTATACGTAGGATATGTCCAAAATTCACAAAGTAATTTCATGGCACACTGCATCAGTACTTCACCACACCTGGATGTATCCAAGAGGTTCTGGGGGTGTGTCACTATGGACTCTGCATGCTATAAATCTGTTGAAAGCTCTGGCTCATTGCCTCTTATGATACCAGGTAACTAATGGAACATAGTCAAGATGTAACTGCAAGCATAAGATGCCTAGACATTAATTCATTACAGTGTTAGGACAAAGTAGAAAGAGAGTGTTCATAGCACAGCAAGCAACTATTCTCAGAACTTGAATGTTAGCGATTCAGGTGCTGTAGCTCACTCAAAGGCATCTTGTTCAACATCATTAGGTAATCATGCTTGAGTTTCAGGGTGATGTGACTGGAAGTCTAAAACACATGGGGGTCATCTTCTTGGGGCTTCTTGGTTGAAACATGACCTCACTCAGGACAGGCATAGGACTACTGGCAACAACTTGAGGTATTCCTTGTGAAAATCTAAGGAGACACAGAAGTTCCACTTACCAGGGATCCCTCAACCTGATGTCTCTGGCCTGTTCTCACCACTGGCTACTTTGGTGGCTAGTAAAAGCTGGTGACAAAAAGCTAGAGCTCTGTCCCAAAGCTTATATATACTGAAAGCAGACCATACCCCTAAGGTTACTCCACTTCAACTACTTAGTCACTCACAGAAGATTCCACCATGAAGGTGATCACAATCTCATAACGGGGAATAACTCTGTTCAGTTACCCAGTCACTCAAAACCATGGCCCAGCCAAGTTGACATGCAATCTTAACTACCACAGGTATTAAGCAATTCACCTAACATCACAGAGCTAATAAGTGGCAAAGCCAGCATATGAATTCAGACAGCCTGGTTTCAGAGCCCAAGTGACCAGAGGGAGAAGTGATGATTGGAACCACTAATGACTAGAGATCTTTTATTATTTTTTTTTAAGATCACTCTGACTAGAGCACAGTAAAGGAGCTCAAGTCCACTGCTTGCAAAATATAGTGACAGTTATGAGAGATTGCTGTTAGGTGACATTCAAATCATTTTCGACTCATGGCAACCCCACACGACAGAGTAGAACTGTCCTATAGAGTTTCTTAGACTTTAATCTTTGTGGGAGTACACCACCAACTCTTCCTCCCACAGAGCTGCTGGGCAGGTTCAAACCACCACATTCATATTATCAGTTGAGCACTTACCCATGTGCACCACCTAGTAGATATCTGGAAGTAATATGGTACGGGAGAGAGAGGTCTGTAAGTCATTAGCCATGTGACTCTAGCCATCTTAACCTTACTAGATTTTAATTTGCTCATCTGTAAAAATGGGGAAACTGAACCAGATGCTCTTTTATATCATTCCCTGACCTGGATTCCTTGATTCTCTCCTTTCTTTAATCTCTCCCTGTTCACTGGCTCCTCTCCTAAACACTTATGTTCACACTTCTTCTATGCTTAAAAACCTCCCTGTTCAGGCTTGTTTCTCTTCTCTCTCACATTACCATTTTGAGCAAGGAGTGTCAGTGGCGATACTACCTTCCATATCATCCTACTCAGACCTTTGCTGTTTCTCTTCCTCATGCTGTTGGAATTGATTTTGAGAGCAATGTTTGGAGACCTGAACTGCAGATCCAGTAGTTAGAAGTGGTAAGAACTCATTTTTCACCCTACTCAACAATCTTTGAAGATCTCCATGCCATTGAACCACTTCTCCTGTTGGAGGATCTCTTTCTGGAGACGTAGCAGCCCTGCTTTCCCCCGATTCCCTCACCACCTTTTTGACTGTTCCTTTCCAGTGCCTTTTTCTGGCCCATCATCCTGCCCTTCTCCTTCACACTGCTGCATCCTCAGCACTTACTTTTCCTTTCTAATACCAACTCCTCGGGTAGTTTCATGCATGTCTGTGGCTTCAACTATCACCTTTGAGCCTGTGTCTCCAGGCTTGCTCTTCTTCCACTATCATGAGCCATACATATTTCCAACTGTTTCTCCCTCGAGGCATTTCACTGGAAACTCCAAATGCAGGGCCCCAAATCACTCTCACCTGCTCTCTTCCTAAATCCAGGTTAGAGATCGCCATCATCCTACTTCCTACCCCATCCATTACCAAGTATTATGCATGGTTAAGTTTCAGCAGTCATTTTTCATCAGT